CACAGGGCTCCACATCACCCTCTCTCTCAGGCTTCTGATCACTGCCCCCTCTTACTGTGGTTCTACAACACTGGCCCCCCTCACACTGGGGGCTCCACATGCAGTTGTAACACCCCCTTTACTTGGGGTCTCAGGGCTTCCCTTCACAGGTGGGCTCAGGTGGCCATAGCCATGCCTGGCCCCAACTCTCCTCCTTGAGGTCTCAAACCCCTGCAGGGCTCAGGCAGCCTTGGCCACACCTGGCCTCCAACTCTCCTCCTCAGGGTCTCAAACCCCCATAACTACCTTTGGTGTACCACAACCCACCCTAAGGTGAGGGCTAGGGGTTAAGGCACCCTGACCCACCTTTCACCAGGGTGATCACTGGCTTGGTATTTCCTGGAGACTTCCATGCCACTGGGAGCCCCACCAGGCCACCCACTTACCTCCAGATGAAACTCACCAGCTTTCAGGCCAGACAATATTGTTGCCTTACCCTAGCAGCCAAATTGCCTTGTTTATATAGGCAGCCCTGAGCCTAAAATGGCTGCCCTCATTAGGCACCTGGAGGCTGCCAGCTCCAGGGCCTTAAAGTGGCAGGCACACATACTGCCCTGCCACATTCTACTTTGGTATTATTGCCTGGGGCAACAATGTTTTTTACCATTATTTTTATACTAATTAAAAAATATATAGTATTTTGTACTTTATTTTTATATTTTATACTTAAATTAGGGACTATATATGGAATTTCGACTGTACTGGAACTCTTACTTATATTGGTGAATTGTTTAAAGAAAACAGCTTTGAATGGTAAGAGAGGATAGCATTCATTAAGATACAGCATAGCACTATTATGGAGTATCATGAAAATATTTAAGAGGAGATGGTCATTGCCAATTATAAAGAATGAATCTTGTGCATCAGAATTTTACATTTTCAACAAGCTATTGGACCATATCCTAAGGTGCCTGAAGTTGTACTTACTGTGTTAGCAGTTCTGAGTGTTGCAGGGCACTAAGGTGTGCCTGCTCCTTTAAGGGCAGAAACTGCCTAGGAGAGGGTCCTAGGAGCCAGGCAGAACCTCCACAGGTGCAGGTTGCCGTGGCAGCAGACTGATGAGAGAATTAGCCTGCGCCTGGACCTGGTCAGCCAACTGGAAGAAGGCAGGCCCTGGGCACATATAAGCCCCAGGGCTGGGACTAGCAGGTTAGTTCTTTGGCAGCAGCCAAGGGGGAAGGAGGTCTTGTAGAGAAAACTAGTTGGAGGTGCTTGACTGCTTGTTCTGCTGCTGGTTGGATTAAGGGACTATAGGAGCTCCTAAGTTCTTATGGGTAGGAGGCACATTGTAATGAGAGAGAAGCTTGCTGTCTTAAAAGGGATAGGGGTTATTGTTAGGTTGTAGCCCAGGGGCTTGTGTTTTCTGTTGTGATTTATACTGGTGGACTGGGCTGAGGCTACTGGGGAAGAGGAGGCCTCATTGGGGCATACTACAGCGTGGAGAGCCCAGTGCTAGAGGGTACAGCAACAGATACTAAGGCTAAGGGTCCAGTGACAACAAGAGGCCAAATTAGACTGAGGCCTCATCACAAGAGACAACATCTAAATGCCATCTGTGAGTCATGGGGCATAGGAAAGGGGAAGTTTTGGAGCCATGCATCTAGCCCATAAGGCTTGAGGGGTACTGTCAGGCACCTCCTGAGAGTTGGACCCAGTAAGGGGTCCAACAACTGACTGGGTTTATAGGAGACTGTCAGGACTGTGGCTGAGCAGTAACTCGAGAGCAGCCTCCCAATTCATCATTTATACCAGCAAGACTTGGCAGGCAAGATTAGTAGGTGCCCATAGGGTGGAGTCACGGTGCCCTAGGGACATCCTGGCCATCCCTGGGGTGGCTGTATTGTGACACTGAGGAATCAGTAAGTTAAAGGTGGAATCAAGATAAAATACTTTAATCTGGTTTTGGCCAACTAATGCTTGGCATGCATCAGGAGGCTTAGTTTAGTCCCTTTTACACTAGGCCTTTTGCAGGCTGATTCAGTCCCTAAAAGGAAGTCGAATGGCAGTTGAGTAAGCTACATTAATAATGACAACCGTGAGGAAGTAAGTAATTCACAGCCTTCCAGTTCTGCACTGTGTAGAGTTCCTGTGTAAACAAAACTACAGCATATCCTCAGACCCTGAATTTAAGATAATCCCCCCAATAATTAGATTCTATACATGGAAAATGTATACATTTGTTATAATTTTCCAAGTATAGAATCTAATTTTTGGAGTGCTGTCTTTAATTCATCCCTCCCACTGGTGCAGGGAGACTGGCAGTGGGGAGGCAGATGTTGTGGGGAGATCAAGCATCTTGCCTGCCCCCCACCACCTCTTCTCCCTGCCTGCCCCACTGTAGCTTCCTCTCCCCCACTCCCTCAGCCTCTGCTCCCCACTTCTCCCCAGCCTCTCTTCCCCCTTCCCTGTAGCCTCTGCTCTCTGCTGCCAGGCTCCCTCTCCATTCTAGCCCTGGGGTACTGAGGGTGGCACCAGCCCAGGCCTGTAGCAGCCTGGAGCAAGGGTAAGGTGGGGAAAGGAGAGGGGCATGCAGGGAAGCAGAGGCTGTGCTGGCAAGGGAGAGGGGGAGAAGAGGCTTCAGGAGTGAGGTAACTGGGTGCATAGGCAATGGTGGGGTGGAAGGATCAGGTACCAGCTGTAGCTATGACCCCAACCCCAGGTAAAGGTTGGATCTCGAGCCACAGCAGCTGTCTGCCCCCAACCCTTGATTCTAAGACGAGGGGCATTTCCCCTCATGCTAAATGTGAGGGAGGGGAATCTAGTCTTAGAATTGAGTAAATAGAGTAGTATCTTTTCCACTACTTAGTATAACCACTTGAGCCCCACAGTGAGAATGTTCTTATAACAGCTACAAAGGTAAGCAATGGCCTGAAAAAATATTGGCTAATTGAAGACAGGATTTGTTTAAACAGGTGAAACAATGGAACATGTCAGGTTAAACCAGTTCAGGTCACAGTGTCTCACTTTTTCTTTTGACAAATTCTACCAAAGCTACTTGAATTCTCTTTAAAACTATGAACTCTTTTTGCACAATTAATATTGTTGTTGGCTTTTGTGGCAGAACTCTCAGCTGGTGTCTCCAAGGTCTCAGTTGAGTAATATGAAGGCCCCAAGGTCTCAGTTGAGTAATGTGAAGGCCCCGCAGCAAGTTCACTGCCTACTCATTAAGTCAGCCCTCTCTGGCATTTGGTCTCCTTATGGCAAACAAGGTTTGTCAATGTTGTAAGAGTCTAATGACATAAACACCTCCCTTACAATGCTTTCTGTACAACCGTGCAGCCCTGTGTAGTCACATGACTGCAGTATGTGATGATGACTTGATTTAATATGCTGAGCTGCAGTGCAGTAGTTCAGCATGCTGACATTTCATGAGTCACTGATCTGAACTGCCTTGACAAGAACAGGACCATCTTGGAAAATGCAAAATTCACGGCATGAGTTACACCTACCAATTTATGGCATGAGTTACACCCAAGTCATTCATGTCCTAAAATGCAATCTACTTTCAAGCTTCTTTAATTTTCTAGGGAAAATTATCTGGAACTTAAGTACAGAGGCTTTAAAAATAATTCCAAGCAGTCTTTTAAAGTACCACACACAACAAAAATAATAGCTTTTCTTTCAAGATGGCAATGTGTGTTTGCTGTTTAGAGGTAGACACAGGTTCAGATTCATACAAGGAGTTGGGCATGTAAAATGGGTGTTAGGGTGACCTGAGGTGCCTAACATTTCATCAGTAAAGTTCCCTGGCCATCCAAAGCTCTGCTTCCAGACATGCCCAGAAGCAATTTAGTCTTTTCTGTGCTAAGTAGTTCAATACCTGTCTCCCAACTATGCCTGGTCAGGATCCACTACCTACGTTTTCCCTGCTAGGTTTAGGCTTTAAACCCAAATGAAAGGAAGTGCCTTTCTGCAGTCCAGAATTAAGTACTTAATATACTAGACACATGCCTTTGTTTTTCCTGTTTGCCACCTTAGGTGGCTCCCTGCTTAATATGTTGGCAGTTTGAGGTGCTAAATTGTTCCCTGGCATGTGCGTGCCCTTAGTGTTAGATGTGTTCATTGTTACAGCATGTAAATCTTAATCTTGCAGATTTAAACTAAAGGGTCCAATGGTCCCTATGATCAGAACAGACTCTCAATCAGTATTCATCAGTAGCTTCCTACTCCATATTACTGCTGAAGTCCCACTTGCTCCATGAATCCTATAAACCAAAAATTACTACTGTATTTTCTTGCACCAGTCTTTCTGGAAGGAAGCTTGTATGTTCTTTACTATTCTGTGTTTATTTACTATGGTACATCTTTATGGTTCTGGGATCACGAAGCAATTTCACACAATAGCCTTTTGTCTAACTGCCCACTGTGCAAATGTTATACATTCTTCAGAGGATAGGGTACTGATTACATGCTGGATTTGATGGAATACTGGTCTGATTTGGGGACACAATTCCTGTGCATTACAAGAAATGGAAGAAAGTAAAAGTTAGTTTTTAACTTTTAAGAAGTTCTTAAAGTATTTTACATGGCCTAATAAAACAATCTATCTAACTCTTATTCTCATTGAAAGCCAGTGGGCTCATTTTCATTATGTTAAGGCCTTTACAAGTTTCTGGTATTGTTAAGTGGCTGGGCCTAGAAATAGAATAAATTACATTTTCACGAAGGCTGCTTTTTACTGCTAGACCGATATCAAGTTTCCTTAGTATAAATGAGAATTAGTACTTTGCTAGACTAGTATCTTACCAGAGTGTTATACTAATTATTGAGTGACTGAAAAGCATATCAGTCATGCCATGTATAATAAAAGATAAGATAGCTAATTATATTCCTTTGCATTCCTTGCAAGCATAAATCTTTCTTACAACCACAGAGATGTATAAAATACATTTTGTAATCTGTATTCTTCCTATTCTATAACTTGTTTGAATCAGAGCCAGACTTTATAGTTATATTTTTACCTCATACTGTAAAGTGTCATATAGATTCCCAATTCTTGCAGTGTTCAGACTGTTAACTGGGTATCCGGTGTGAGCTGCTAAAAATCTGAGAAATGGCTGGAAAACAAAAACCGGAAACAAAGCAGGTTTAGATTTACTATTTTATGACATTCCTATATACTACCTTAGTAGCATGCACGGCACATTTTAGAAAGAATAAAGTTTGTTGAATCGGCAGCCTAGCTGTGACAGCGTGGCTAATGGGAAAACAGGCAAAGGAGTTACCAAACATGGTTCAAGTTGCTAGATTAGTGAATCTCAGGAAGGGTGCCTTGAGATCCTTTCAGGGGTTTTGTGGATTGCCAAACAATGTTAGCATTCTTAGGTGTGAAAACATGATTCACAAGATAAACCAAGAGATTTCAAATAGGAATCTATAGTGGTGAAGACATGCTGATGACCACCTGTTTGTGGTTGTTCTGAGTGCTCTGCCACAGAAAAAATTCTAATTTTTCCATAGTTAATAAATTAGTGAAAACAAAGAGCTGGCATTTTCTAAGGAGTGCCTTGAATCTAATGAGGGTTGTCTTGAGTTTAAACAGTTTGAGAACAACTCTTCTGGATGGTATAACTCACTAGTTCACCTCTCGAAACATAAAATCAAGGTTTCTTGAGGCTGATGTAGGAATGTAGGACATTGTAGGAGAATGTGGGAGTTTGATAGTGGGGAAGGGATTGGCTTTGGAGGTGCTGTGGATTAAAAAGAAGTGAAACACTTGACTGCCTGCCTGGATGCAAGACAGGAAGAGAAAAGGGAAAGACTGGTTGCTGCATTGAAGTTGTGGGAATTTTCTTACGTGACAGTCAGGAAATTAGTGGGAAGATTTTTTGTGGGGAAGAGGGGTTTGAGGAAAGAGAGGGTATATGTAAAGAGATGTCAGAAAAGGGATTGCAATCATGAGACTGAGCAGCAAGGATGAAGTTGGACTGGAGATGCTGGTTTTGGTTGACTTTTGTAGTTTTTGTGTAATTCAGACAATAGATTGAGTTTTGATAAAGGGTGACTAAGAGTCCCACCTTCTCTAAACTGCACTTTTTTCATTTGTGGTGAACTTGCCAGCCCAACAGATTTTCTAACATCATAACTGTTTAGTGGGTAAATAGTAGTCTTCTTCCAGTATATAGAAGTATGGTCTGCTAAGGCTAAGGAGAATTAGATACCTTCATTAGAAGGAGAATACGCCAGTCTCCAGACTCCCAATCTTATGATTCCGGTATTAGATAATGCTGTGATAAGTGGTAGTTTTTAATTGAATGTTTTCCACAGTTGAAAGTAGATTGCTTTCCTTACCCTGTAGTACTTAAGTTGTTTTTGAAACTCTCTTGTTACAAAAGTTCGTTTCTGAAGTTCATTGTATTTTGGACAATTTGGAAAAGGTAAGTGGAGCAACTGAAATAAAAGGTACAATGTATTAATTATGCAGTCTGTTTCTGGTTTGATAATTTAATATACTCTTATAGAAGTCCAGTTCTGATTTGCGTGTCAGCCGGGACAAACTGAAAAAAGATTTTAGGATTGGTTTCCAGTGATATTTTTCCCTCCATACAATAATACCTCTAGCAACTCAGTTTTATAATATTAACCATAAAACATTTGTGGACATTGCTTGTAAAAGTAGTTGAAAATTAGGTGCTATTCACCATGTAGGAAAAGGCCAGCACAAGACCTATGCACTTCTTAAATCCTCAAAATCATGCTTAAATGGTACATGTATATTATTTCTGGCTGTCTGTATTGGGATGATTTGCTTTATCTGAGATATTCTAATATCATTTTTGTTAGAAACTGTCTGCATTAATCTTAAGTAAAGCAAAACAAAATACAATTACAGCTGATTTCAAATCAAGTGGTAATAATTGTCTCAATATTTCCTGCTAACATGTTTTCCATCTCCCTCCTGAGATAATTAATAAAATTCCATTTGTTGTAGTCACACAATTAAAACAAGAGCTTCAAATAAAACCTTGGTGTACTGAGGAGAAAATTAGCCTCAGAATATGTACATCAGCTTTTTGCCACTCTTAGACTACTGATCTAACTATTAGGGGCATATTGTACTAATATAATATAATCATATGCTCATGAATGGGCATGATATTTCTAGTAACTGACAGCTACTAGCTTTGATAGGGGTCCAGGGTGCTATGTATTCATTAAAAAATAAAAATATATTTAAAGCAATAGATAATGGAAAGCAGGAGGGAAAAATGAACATATATATTCACATTTTCCTATTTTGTACATTAATTTGTTTATTAACTTATTTTTATACTTTAGGAGCATACTATACTATTTACAATGGTCGCAAACCACACAACTTGGAGTGATTAAGATTAAAAAAGCACCTATTTTAATTTGACTTACTCATGTGTGTTGTAAATAGGGCATGTAAGGCCCTTCAATCACTTGCATAAACTTTTCAAATTTGGGGAGAATGTGAAACCTAGTGCCTGTTTGCTGAATTTGGTAGTAGAACTCCATCTTTTGTCTGAAATCTGCAAAATCCCGTGGTGTGCAAAAATCTCACTACTAGACCAGGGTAGGGAAGGAAAGAACAGCTCTCTGTGTTCATTGCCTCTGCTCTGCAGCCTCCCAGCCATCACTGGAAGTACATACATATCTGGAAGTTCTTTTCTTCTTTCACTCCCCTCACCTGCCCAGGTCACTGGTCACAGCATTCCCAGTGACTGTGAAGCTGGCTTCCTCACAGCCCCTTGAAGAAATGCTTCCCAGTTCCCATATTTGAGTACTCTGCAGGTGAGGGGAAGAGAGAAAGGAGTACCAGAATCAGATTATCGCACAATTTGAGTTACAGCAAACCAGTCCTCCATATTTTTTCTTTTGGCCACCAACCACAAAATGACTGAAAAAATTATCCCACTACCTGAATCACAGTGTAGTGAGGAATGGGACAATTTTATGGGTCATGAGCAACAAAACATTGAGGAGAATAGTGATAATGCACATTTCCCACCCCCTGCTCTTCAGCAGAGCAAATTATTTTAAATCTCTGCACAGAGCAGAGAGTAGGGTAATGTGTTACTGGCTCACAGTTATGATTTTATAAAGTATGAGAGCATAATATATTAAAAGGGTTCTTGACTCTGGTCACACAGCTATTTATGAAAATGGTGTCATGAGTGGAAGTTTGATTTGAGATTTAGCTTGTCTTATTTTCATTAAGCCCAAGTCTGTCACAGGAGTCTGTGCACAGTGGTGCTTCCTAGACACAGTGCTGTTGCTTTGTATTGTCCTCATCCACTTTATTCACTTTACTTCTGACATTATGAGTCTTTAGTAAGAAAGCATACAGGAAAAAGGAGTTTGCAACTTGTAGTACTCACGTGGTCATGTGATAGTGGCACTGTGTGAACTGGGATTGGCTGCCAAAGGATTTTTGGGTTCCAAGCCTGACCACTGTCCACTGGATACAACCCAGCAAGAGTTGCCTGGGCACTCATAAGTGTTTGGTCAGAGTCTGTGCTTTGAACATAAATCTGGAGCAAAAACAGAAAAAAAATGGTTCTCTTATTAATTGGCCAATTTGATGAGAAAAGAGAGAACTAGAAATGGGATGAAAGGCTTGGCATCCCAACAGGTAGGATATTAAAGAAAATCTGCCATAAGAGGGAAGAGGGAGAGAAGTGGGAGGGAGTTGCAGCAGAGCATTGGGACTGAACTTTGGGGGGCAAGTGAATCGGAATATGGTGGCAACCCCATTAGAAATGCTCAGGAAAAAAAAATCACTTGGCTCCAGCTGGCCAAGTTTTGAGAGACAGTAATGGAGCTACTGAACCCCAACTGAAACAGAGGGTATGTCTACACTGCAGTCTTCAGTGTAGTGTTAAGATGACCTAGATAGCATATCTGTAGGGTAAACCATCCCATACTGAGCGCCATGCTACTGCAGCTAAACTGCTTTTGGTACTAGAACTAGTTTGTTTAAAGCCAGGTGGGTATCTGGACACTACACAGCAGTCTGTGTGGTAGATATTGACCAGAAGAAACCATTAGCGCACAGGAAAAAAAATCCTCCTCCTGATACTTGCCTCGCACTGCTTATATATAGTACTCAAGAAATGAGCATATCTTTTCCGTAAGTATTGTCCAAGCTTATATTGCTGCTGTATCCCAAGCTGTGAAAACAACAATAGAGATGAATGTCAGTGTAATGTTCTGTGGAAGCACAGAGGAGACTTATCTGATCTTGAAGACTGGAAGGAGCGGCCCATTATCTACAAGGTTTTATTTCAGTTTTCTTCTCCCTAATGTGGATAAGTGGAGTGCCTTGAGACTTTTTTTTAAAGTAAATTAAAACAAACCTCCCCTTCTGATTGCTGAATATTATGAGCCTTAATTAGACACTTCCATCTTTCCATACACACTCATCTCTTCCTGTCATTTTAAATCTTTGTGCATTTTGTTTTTTTTTAAATCTAGGCTCCTAGAATCCAATCTATGTGAGAGCAACATTTTTTGTCCATTTATCACAATATATACTTTAATGGAGTAGAGCTAAATAAAGGCCTATATAAAGAAGGTCACATAACCATAATTACAAATTTGGAAATGCCAAAACCTTTTTCTTTACAGCAGTGTGGTAATATATTATTTAGGGCTATGAATGAGAGGAGGACAATAAATTTAATAGTAAGTTTAATATTAGTAGTAGTCAACTGACATCTTATTTAGGAAAATACACCTTAATGTTTTCTAAAAAAGGATCAGAGGGTGTATCTACACGTCTAGCAATGCACTATGTTGCCATATAGTGCGTTACAGCAATGTAGCGACCACGTGGGTCTACATGTGATTAGCAGCAGCAGCACCGTAGTGGCATGCTCCTCCCAGTCTAGCACACTGCTATGGCGATGTAGTGGGGAAATCTAACCATGTGCTATACGCATGGTGCAGTAACTGCCCATACTGCCCAATGCTTTAGTACTTGCAATAGGAAGTACTAAAGCATGGTGCCATAGCAATGTCACTATACGGTAATGTGCAGACATGCCCAGAGAATAGAAAAACACTGCAAAATGGCTGGATGTGTATGGATTAAATCCTAGCTCTTCCAACTCTGATTTTAATTTTGAAGCATTAATGCTGTATGACATGGTCTCTTCAGCATTTAAATTTCATTGCTATTTATAAAAAGGGGAGGGGAAATTATTTGGGGCTTAATAATAGCCCATACTCCATACAGATATAATTGACATCATTGTAATTAGTGTTTGAAATTCACACCTTATTGAACTGAGTAGAAATGAGCAGGCATGAGCTCACACACTTGTTGCTGTTATTATTTAGCTAGATGCAGTTTTCTGCAAATTGGGTTAACGAGGCAGCAGCACATCTGTTATGAAGCTTGCATATTTATAATAGACAAAGAGAGAAATCGAGGCCAGATCCTACAAAGACCTGAGCAACTGAACAACCATTGAATGAATCAATTCCACAGAAATTAAAGATGCTCATTACACAGTGCTTATTTTGTTTAAAATGAGAATATTCAAGCTAACTAACAATGAAACAAATGGGTATAAACAGGCTATGAATAAATTTAAAAGAACCATCGGAGGAGTAGGAATCATCAAGCAAAAGCCCTAATTAACTTTATGGTGGAGTTTGATAAATTATGATCAGGTTTGTATGACTTTTTTTTCAGTAGCAGGGTGGCTGTTTCCAGATCTAAGTTCCATGCTTCTATCAATATCTATTTACATAATACGCTTCACTGCAAAATTACCCATAGATTAATAGATTTTAAGGTCAGAAGGGATCACAATGGTTATATACCTGCTATATAACAGGACATGGAAACCAAGTGATTCCCATAACAAATCCACAACTTCTGGTTGAGCTGTGGAATATTTCTTAGACAACCCTTCTTGAATTCAAGACTTCAAGCAATAGACAATGTACTATATCATCAGGTCCCATGGATTAGTCATCTTCACTATAACAAATTTGCTCCATATATCTCGTATGAATTTATATTGCTTCAGCTTTAAGCACTGGATCTTGTTATCCTTTTGTCTACTAGATTGAATAAGCCCTCTATTATCAGAAATCTTATCTCTGTTTAGGTACTTACAGTATATGACTGGGTGACTTAATCTTTTGGTTAAAATAAATAGAGCTTCATTAGTCTCTCATGTATAGGGAGGCTTTCCAGAGCTCAAAATATTCGATTAGCTCTTTTTTAAAAATCTTCTAATTTATCATTATCCATTTTAAAACATGAATGTCAGAATTATACATACTATTCTAGTAATGAACTCAGTAGTGCTGTATATAGTAATAAATAACCCCTAGCTAGTGTTTCACTGCTCACACAGCTAAGGACTATACATCCAAAGATCTTATGTTCAGCTAACTTTTCAGCAAGATAACCTAACTTCTTTTCTGAGTCATTTTCCAAAACCCAGTCCCCCATCCTAACAACGTGACATACACTCATGGTACCTCAAAGCATGAACGTTCATCAGTGGCTTCCACTGTTTCAATATGTTACACCAACAAACCTTGGTAAGCTGTCCAAATCCTTGTGGCCAAGCATTTTCTTTGTGTTTGTCATTTGGAAAAGATTCACATGGGGTATGATCACCATGGCGAAATACCTAATAAGACAATTTTAATTCCATTCACATTATTGCATTTCTTTTATTAGAAGCAGTTGAATTGCAATTCTAGTCCTATCTTCATTAATGAGGAGTGCTGTGTAGCCTATTAACACATTGATATACACTAGGTAGTAGCTTCCATGCTTATTTTTAAGATTGTAACCTTATTGTGTAGGGGGGTCTCATTTCCTTCATATGAAAAGTAGCTAACTCATGGATTTTTTCTATGATTTTATATGCTTTATAAAATATTATATATTATAAAGAGGACAGAAGAACATAGGCAGTACAGGTCACATTAAATTAAACAAGCAAGATGACTGGTATTAATATAACAAATACAAAAAAGTGAATATTTTGTTAAAGCTACCTGAAAGTTAAGGGAAACAAATAACAAACAAACAAAAAAAATCAGTATATTACCCAACATACAGTGCCTGTGTTTGGCTACTATAAGTCACTTTTTCCTGAAAGAGGCTGCTGTTAGAAAATAGTATGTTGGCAGGCACTGTAAATATCTAAAATCTGAACACATGGTCTTGTGAAAACCCTGAACGGGTCTTAAATTTCCACTGCTTTCCAATGATATTGTACAGTATCAAGCTTTTTCATTCTGTTAATGAAGAATTTCTTGTTATCCTGTATCATTGACTTGGCATACATAGTTATTAGTCATAACATTATGAAGCTATTAAGCCTTCCCTTTCATCGTCCAAATGGGAAAAAAATACATCACAAAGATGTGAAAATGATGTGAAATTCTTGCCAAAAGTTTAGAATAGACCAAATTCAGAAGAGGCCTATTTTTCTTGAGAGAAAGGGTAGCTTACAAATCAGTGCAAGTTCTACTCACATATACCATAGCTTCATGCCAGTCATTCAATGAATCACATATTCTAATTACATATAGGGAGAAATTGCTCTTTTGCAATCCAATACATTATTTGCATTACCAAGAGGAATTTCTGCAGGAAGTGAAGGCTAGTTTTGGCATCTCATCCATTTCATCATTTTAAATTATCCCTATAGAGCTCTCCTTTTGCTGCCACAAATAAAGGACATTGTATTTACAGGAGATTTCAGAATCATCTGAGTCTGCTAAATGGAAGCAAGTTTACAAAACAGTCTTTAAAGTGTGGTACTTTTTATTTTTCTACAGGGGGCAATAATAGAACTTGATTATTCAGAAAACATTTAAATATTTGCAAAACATGTTTTGCAGAGTGTTTCCCCCCTGGAATTATAACAGCAGCAGCAAATGACAGTTTTTTGAGGAAATTCTTTCCATTTCTAAACTGCTGTCTACTTACTAAGGACACAAACTTCAGTTTCCTTTTCGCTGTGGTTTGGTGAAGCAAAATGAAGAGAAGATATAGCAGGAAGCATAGACTCCAGATTCCACAGAGCAACTGTCTCACTCTCATCCTTGCACAAGCTTACAAGTGTTTTATGCACCAACTTCTCAGACTGGACACAGCCCCACAGTAGACTAGTTATATAAAAAAGATGGGAGGAGTCAGCCGTTATGCATGGTAAATGCCAGAAATGGGCAGTGGCTCTGCTTCCTCTTCAACTTTCATCCCCATTTGGGTTACTGGATCCCCAGAGACCCATGAAGGAAGCAGGGAACTCTGCATTTGTGTACTCCTGCTGCATGTGCTCCATGGATTTGTTGGACCTCTTCTGCAGTCCATGCCGTATATATCACAGTGCCATAGACACAGTCTGACCTTTACTTCTTATGCTTTACTGAAACTAAAAGCCCAGCACTATTTCTATATATATCTATTTGTCTTGCAGCTTTCTTATTAAGAAAAGTATTACATATATACAGTTATAGTTCCATATACTGCATATAAAAGTCTAGGTGCAATACTCCCCACTCCATCACTAGTAGATAAATAAAGGAATTGCATTTTTCTTCAAATACTTTGTACTGGAATGTAAGCACTAACAACAGAAGCCATTCAAGTATTGGTTGTCTGTTAACTGATAGATTTAGTTGTGTGGTAATGGTTTGGGAAAATTAAAACAGCAGGTGGTTTTGTTGCTCAGAAGCAGAGATAACCCTACATTAACTGACAAGAATAAAGATGTACCCAGCAAACTTTCCAGCTAACAATAGATTGCTTGTATCTTCAATTTCTTTCAAAAACTTTCTTCTAAAGTAAGCCTCTTTTTGCTTGTTAACTTTCATTGTAGTAGATATGCAAAATGGTACAACACACAGGAGTCAAAAATATTTCTTTCATCATCTTATTATTTATTAAATAAAGAGAAAGCATCCAATTAAAAAACAAAGCAAGAAGCTTTTTTACCTCATTATTTCTGTTTTTTTATGAGCTTTTGAGCTTGATGAGACCATAGCATCAGAAAGGAAAAGACAAATAGGAGTTGCCCCTTTTGGGAAGGGCCCTCTTTTTCTTTATATGTTAGACTCAGGGGCAGCAGGGTCAACTGATTAAAGGCATCCACATTACATACATTCGTTTGACAAAGATGTGCTATCTTAAGATCCTAAGACACAACTGGCAACGTGTAGGTGCATACAGATGCATTTGTACCCCCTGAGATCGGCCATGCACCCCCTGGAAGCGCATTTTAAATGCATTGCATACTGTTTGTAGGACTTGCACATGATGGTGTATACATCCCAAAAGTGTAAACCTTTTTGCTCCTTATCCATGGTTATGGACAAGCAAACTGTGTTAAAAGAGATGGGGACTTGCCATGCATCATCTGTTCTGCAGCAACTGTCCGTGTTCACGTTCTTCTCCTGTGGTAACTGAAAGGCAAATTATGGAAGTGTATCTCTTAATGAAAGAATCTAACAAGATATACTCAAGGAGGGCTTTTTAAAAGTGCTCATTGTTGACCCAGTTCTGCTCCTGAGGAAGGGAACTGAATAAGATGGTGCTAAGTGCTATTAAAAATCACATATATGCATGCGATTTTGTTCCCTTGTTAGGAAACACTGTTTCCCTCACCATTTACATTTCATACAAACTATGAAACTGCTCACCTTCAGTAAGAAGTTGCTGAGAGCAGGAGATGGTATTTTCTTGGTATGCAATTCAAGCCTGTGAACATCCTTTTCTGATATTGCTGAGTCATCAAAAATGTAACCATATTCACAGCAAAGTAGAAACTCACTTTTAAAATTTAGTTTGTCACTGTGTATAGCCAAACTGAAAGCTACTTAGGACAAGAGAAGGTGAAGGAAGAAGAGGTGGAAATTAAAAACATAAATGATGGGAGCTGTTTGGGAAGGTGGAAGGAAACTAGATCCAGTTCAGGAGTGTAATGAATTTGTTGACATTTGTATACTGTGGTGATTAGCCTGATATGAATGATTAGGTAATTGTGTCACATACTGTATAGAAATTACTGGAAATCTGTAGCAGCTCCTAAAAATGTAGGGGTTATTTAATATTCAGATACACGTGCCTATAAGGTAGTGCACAACTTGAGTTATTTTTACACAGTGTTGTGTTACTATATATTTCTGAAGCCCGACAGTCCAAATAGGACCATATTTCCTTAGTTATTGTACTCAAAAGCTCTGTACCCTTCATACAGTTGTGATGCTGGCACTCCCAATTTTTTCTTTAAAGCCTAGAGATAAAGCTTTGTAATATTTAGACATTACAAGATCAGATTCATATCTTGGCATTTAACTTCTCTGACTTAAGTGGAATCACATGAGAGAGCTGGTTGGCTCACTAATTATTATAGGGCTGTGCAAAACAGCATCATTTCGTTTCGACTTCATTTTGCCATTTCAAAGGGATGGTGTTTCATTTTGCTGTTTTGAGGCACTGTGCATTTCGTTTAATTTAGTTTAAAGTGTTTCACTGTTTCAACACGTTTTGCCATTTTGTCCATAGGCTATAATGGGGAATCAAAAAAAGGCCTATAGCTTTGTAATTTTTTCCTTGATTTGGATGAGAATTTCAGGGATGCTAGCTCCTTCTGAGGGCATAAAGTTTGCCAATTTTCAAGGAGTTAGGTCCATGGGGTTTTGAGAAACTGCACCTCAAACTGTTCAAAGCAAAACTAGTATCACTTGCTGGCAGTAGTGGCATGCTGTCATCCCGCACACCTGTATCCCCTGGGAGGAGTCTGGCACAGCCCTGTGGCCCTCCAGGGGGTTGCGGGTCCCCGGATCTGGGTGCAGGATGACAGCAGGCTGCCACTGCCAGCTGGGGCCAGCACCAGCACTGGGTTCTTCCCAGCACTTGGTGCGGGCTATGCCGTGAAGACTCAAGTGCTAGTGCTGGCCCCAACTGGCAGCAGGAGCATGCTGTCATCCGCATGCTCTGCAGCCGGCAAGTGTGGAGGTTTAAAAAAAAACCCAACAAAACCTGCACTCACCAGCTCTGGCCGTGGTGATTGGGGCCTCTGAGGGCTCATGGCAGAGCCCCCCCCCAGCACTAGGCAGCAGGGATCCCCTCCCCCTGCCTGGCACCCACACAGCAGTTGCCTCATGGCACGGGGGCAGCGCAGCTTGGCAGGGTGCCGCACACTGTCTGGGAGTGGGGCAGTTCCATGTGTCAGCCAGAGTCCCTGGTTTGATTCCCCTGGTCTCTGATTATTTCCCCCAGCTCTTCCTGGGGATGGGGGGACACAGCCCCCCGATCTGCATGCGGGGTTTCAGTAGGCTGTTGCTGCCAGCTGGGGAAATAGCCCAGATCCATTATCATCCCCAGCTGGCAGCAGCAGCCTGCTGTCAACCTGCATCATCCGGGGGCCTTTGACCCCTAGGAAGAGCTGGGGGAAGCTATCAGAGAGCTGGAGAATCAAACTGGGAACTGGGGGAATTGAACTGGGAACTACTGAAACCCTGTATGCAGATCAGGGGCCTGCAGCCCCTGGGAAGAGCTGGGGAAATGATCAGAGAACTGGGGGAAGCAATCAGAGAGCTGGGGAATTGAACTGGGAGCTGAATGTTAACATCAGAGCAGTCTTTCCCCCCTCTTCTCCATCCCTCTCCTTAGTTTCTGTCAGCTGCAAGCAAGCCTGGCTTCAAAACTTGAAACGTTTGAAATGTTTTGAGTGCCTTCGTTTCATTTCAAAGCCTTTCATTTAATTTCGATTTCACTGTTTTGAGCTCAAAACAGCTTCAAAACGGAACAGCTGTCAAGATTTCACACAGCCCTACTAGTTAACTACGAAAGAATAGATTCTGTAGTGAGGGGTTATCCTCATGCTTCTTCTCACCTTTTGCTTATGCATTTTGGCATCTTAAGCAGTGAAAGGAAGAAACGTATAAAGGAAAGGGAGGGTATTGTTTGTTCATCAGCTGACTTTTCCAGCTGAAGAAATCAACTAATTGCAGAAAAAACACTTTCGCCATCTTTAAAAAGATGGCATATATTGCATCTGATAAAGGCTAATGCTTCACTTAAGGTTCTATAGCTCTTTATGTGGGAAGGGAAACAATGGCATATCATGTCACAGTGCCCATGTCAACATGACACTGTGTTTTACTGCAGCAAAAAGAGATTTTGCCCATTCAAACATGTTTTTTCTCATAAAGATTTTAACACTGGCATATAATATTTTTCAACCTTCTTTAGTGCAGAGATAGATATATGTATTGTATTTTTTCTCTCAACACAATTTTGTGACTGCTAAAAATACTTTATTATCTACTGGGGCAGATCAATTTTACATCAATTTAATGAAACATTGAATAAATTACACTGATGTCAATATACTTCAAATTTATTTATCCTAAGGTTTCTACAGAATCTGTCATTACGCTTTCACTTTCTGCTCTTCTTCCTTTGTTGGCCATGGGAAAGCATCCATGGTATATGTGTATCTATTGTGCCAGAATCTTATTTTGGAGTGAATTGGGATAGCTCTATTAACTTCAGTGATTTATGGCAAAATTTTATAATCATTACAGTTATGATGGAAAAGCTTTATCAAAGGGGATGGTCTGTAAAGGGGTTCCAGCAAAAGGGTGCTGTAAAGGAGACCATTGGATTAGCTTTATTTCCTCTGGAAGCTTATTGCATTGTTGAAGCTCCTCACACGAGAACGCCTTCTGGCTCCTTTGTGCTTCTCCTTTGGTCTTTGTAAGATGCATGATTTAAGAGGAACACAGATGACTGGCCCAGGGCTGGGGCATGAATCAAGATGCAATATTATTTTAACTTACTTATTGATGGCTATAAAATTATAGAATTAGGCCTGACACCTCCAACTGGCAATGCAAGTAGAATGGTAGCCAGTAAAGGTATCGCACACAATGGTGGTGTTCACTTTGGGCTCAGCCCATTGAGGGGACTGATTATGCAATTCTGCACAGATTAGAGTCCTTTTAGAGGTTCCACCTTCATCTGGAGGTACAAAGAGTGATGCAAGCTTCACCTGGTGGTGATAAATATGTGATTTACTTGACCAGGTAAACATC